TCACAAAATCACATTTCCTCCACCGCCCAAATAGCATCGATGAAACATTTGATTCTCATTTCAAAGTGCTTCATCGAATCGTACATTGAATTCAACTCCTTGTGAAACTCCCATACACAGACAGCGTCCTTCACCTCCATCTTAGTAGAATTAGTGAAGAAATCGCAACAAACCAAAAGTGTTGTCATGTTCTTAAAGATGGTGTACTCAGCTTGATCAAAGAATGTCTTTATATCATAGCCAAGATCATCACTGATTTGGCGAAGTTCGTACGAGATGTTATACACATCATTAACATCCATCAAAATTGTCTCCATACTATCCCTCCATGCCATCCACTCATGCAAAAGGTTCCTCTCCTTGATAATATCGTGCACGGATTTCGCTACATCTTCGACAATCTTCAAGTTTTTGGAGTACTCGTTACGATTAGGCCCAAGGCAATTATTAATCGCTTCGTAACACATCGAAGACAATATTTTTATTTTTTCACTGTCGATCTTGTCTTGCATATAGCTTGTAAGTGAGTTGGCCATTTTTCTTGTAGCTGAAATAAGTAGTAAATGCGTGGAGCTTGTACGTGAAACCTTGATAGAGCTGCTGTCGCTTCGAACTGATGCTTTGACGATAATTCACCTACCCTTATATGTGTAAAAATATACGGGGTTGCAAATGTTGTTCCAAGTGGTGGGAGATTACAGCTAAATGTTGGCTATAATTGTTTTATAATTGCAAATTTTCGGAATTTTGGACGGTCCGTTGTCTAGGCAATAAAACTTACACTTTTTTATGACAGTTGAAATATTAAAGTTGTTACTTCTACCCTTTGAAAATATTTGTAATATTTTCCGTTTCTTTATATTATTATTCAATAAAAAGATTATTTAAACAAAATTTCAGAAACAAAATTCTTCGTGAAAATTGTACTTCTGAAAATGTAAGACAATTGCTTCACTATTGGAACCTCGTAGAACCTCGTTTAACGAATACAACGAGTAACGATGAGAAGAGAAGTCCCGGATTGCGCGCCTTCTACATCATTTTTAAAACTCGTGTACACATATTATGTGTATTTTTGAATATGTTTCACTATACAAGTGAAAATCTGGAAATTTTGGAAATTATATCAAATAGTTTTAAATGAAATTTAATGAACTTACCTAGATTGTTTTTAATCCATTCCTTTAAATGATTAAGTTTCTGGGTTACACAAATTACACGCATCTTCTAAAATAGTATACGAAATTGGTTCTGTTTATTGTGTGTATGTGTGTTTGTTTGTTTCTTTTTTGATTCGCTTAAAAGTACAACAACAGTACAATACATCCTCACCGAATAAATAAATCATTATATAAACCTATAACATTTCATGAATATTTATTATGTTTTTTTTTTAAATTAAAAACTCTTCTCGTACGTAAATTTAACATTTCCTTTAACATTAACGACTAATCGTATCAATGCTTATTTACAATATAATTTTATTCATATTTCAAAAAAAA